TGATTTAACTAGTGACGACATATTTATTAAACAAATATTTAGAATCTAGTTAGGTTAAGCAACCATATTACAATATAGATAATTAATTAGATTAGTAAAAAAAAACTTGTACTTAGCTTGGAAAATGAGTATCAAATATGTGTTAAGTATTATATTTATGTGACTACATAATGATTATGATTAGAGATTACATATATAATGAAAAAATAATATAATTAATTAGTTATATAAAGATTAGTAATATGTTTAAATACAATAGTAATTAATTTGTATAAAGTTTATAAGTAGTTAATTTAAAGTCAATAATAATATAATCCAATTATGATATAATAGATAGTAGCAAAAGAAGTATTTATAAACAAAGCAAAAATAAAGAATTAGTTAGTGCTTTTACTTTGAAAAATATATTAACAATGATAAAATAAATAAAGTAAATACTTGAGAATAATACCAAAAAAGCTGTAGAAGTAATTTTAATATGATGTTTGCTACAAAAGCTAGGTTGTTTAGTGATTTGAGTTACTAATTAACTTATAACATAAGAACTTGGACATAATATTTAGTATCTTATCAGACCTATATAAGATTTTCTTATGTTAATATAAAAACAAAAACTGAACTAATAAACTAATAAAACAAAGTGAAACCCCATACTTGGTTAAATAATATTAAAGAAAAAATTAGTTTAGTTAATGTGCAAAGATCAGTTAAATTGATATGCAAACTCTATATTAAAATATTTAATAAAGCTGTTTTTTTACAAAAAAAGCAAGAATAATATTAATGGATTCTTTTTTAATTAGAAATTTTTGCAAATTTGAAAGGATAGAATAAAGAAACACATATGAAATAGTTGTTATGCATATACTAAAAGAAACTAAACCCTGGGTCTGAAAGCTAATAAGAACTAAAATCCAATAAGCAGATTTAAAGAACTCTATAATTAAGATAATAAATGCTAAAAACAATAATAGAATAAAGATAAATTGGTTAAGAACTACAAAGCAAGTTAAAAAGAAAAGTAAAAAGTTATAAATAAAAAGACTGGTTTTTAAATAGTTTGCATAAACCATATTAATCTAAAGTAAAGGCCTTTTGTTCATAAGTTATGTTAAAGTAAAGAATTGTTTACTTCAAATTAAGACCTTCCAGAAAGATAAAAAACAATATAATAATAGGAAACCTATGCCAATAATAGAAAAGAAGTCTCAATCAAGTGACTCAGACATTGATAACATTATGGCAGCATTTAAAGCTCTAACAATTAATCATGTGAAACATAAAACCAATGAGGTTAGCAGAATTGATAAAATCGAAATAGATATAAGAGAAATGATAAAAGCAATAAAACAACTTATCAATAACCAAAGATCAGATGACTGTTTTAACTTTAGGAATTCAGAATTAATAAGAAATTCAAGACTATACAATGATATTCAGTAATATTTTAATTGTCAACAAGAAGGACATATCTTATATAACTGTTCAAATTAAGGTTAACAAAATATATCTACTTAATATAGAGAGGAACTAAGAGAAAAAAGAAATAAAAACATTGAAATTAGAGAAGCAAATATTAAATATTTTAAAATTATCTTAGTATCAAATAATCCAGAAATCAAATGTTTGAAAGTTAAAATAGTAAAAGCCAAGCCAATATTTGATATTTGAAATCAGAATCTATAAAAAAGAAAACATATTAATGAAAAAGAAGAAACTGCTAAAATTAAAAATAAAAGTAGACACATCACTCTCCCTGCTGATCACTTGTACACAAAACTATAGGAAAACACTTTAGAAGTTTGCTAAAAAATGGCTGTCAAAACCAACCTTACAGGTTTAAGAAAAAAGATAGAGCTTGTAGAAAAATATATAACAAGAGATAGAAGTAGAAAATTAGAAAGCTTTTAGAAAAG